CTGATCTTAAATTGGACGTAACAAAAAATATTACGATATGTAAAAAATTTATTACTAATGTTTGCCGTCGTTTACTTTAATATTTGACTTGTGCCGGAACATTTGACTAGTGACGGAACATTTGACTTGTTCCCGTGACATTGATGTGTACTGTAACATTTTAATATATCGCTCCCCTATTTATATTTCAATTATCATCGTCACTGCTTAAATGATAATATTGGAATTGGTAGAATTGAACTTATCGCGAAATATCATTATAGAGTGGATTATTACTGTTAAAATATTTTTTTTTATATTGACATAACTAGAGATGTCACCCGGCACTTTTCGGTCAGGATTTGGGCTTTTCCAAAACCCAAATGTAATCACAAATCCCAAACCTCTGCCCAAAAAGGAACTCTAAAAATTAAAGAAATAATGAAATAAAAAGAAAAAAAAAACTTTTATATGAATTTATTATATTGAACTTAATTTTAAATATGACAAACTTTTAATCAACATAAAAGTGAATTATTTAAATTTATTAATAAAATAAATTATTTAAATTATTAATTAGTGAATATTATTTAATTTATTAATAAAGTGAATTATTTAAATTTATTAATTAGTGAATTATTTAAATTCTATTTTTTTTTACAATAAAAACAAAGCACTCTTGTAATTTATGGCTGTGGCGATACTTTGTATTAATTGAAAAAAAAAAAAAATTCTTATAAAAAAAAAAAATCATTTAATTTAATAATCTTACATACAAAATGAATACATTTAGTTATCTGGAAGGTCATAAGTAGAAACCAGAGAATTTGACTGTAAAAAAAAAAAAAAAAAAAAAAAAAAAAATTCAGTCAACTTTTTGCGTTCAATGTTCTCCGATTAATATTCCCCGATTAATAATCAACATTAATAATAAATTTTATTATCGAAATTAGTGATGCCATCATAACTCATTTCTACATTTATTACTGATATCTTCGAAATTTAGTCTAAACTGTAAAAACTATCAAAATATAAACTGATAAACTATTTATCTGTTATACTTACTATTTTATTTATACGCAATAAAACAATTAAGAACGTAAATTTTAAAAATTTATTAAGCTTTGCATTATTTGTTCATATTTAATATATTACTAGCATTTTATATATAGTAATTTAGCAACTAATCAGTTCCTAAGACCTCATCAACTATATTCGATGCTTCAAAGTCCATATTTCCATGACCTTTGATTGATATTAATTTAGATTGTGATCTAATTTGTTCACAATCGAAATTCGTATTGCTGAAACTAAAACAATATAATGTAAGATTAACTATATTTTCGATATTTAGTTTAGTTTCAGAAGCTATAAGTATATCAGAATTTGTCGAAGTGAAAATAGGAATTGAACAACGTTCACATTCAGTAGAATAAAGATCTCTAATTTTTTCACCAAGAATATAATCGTTCCATATTTCTACTCTAGGTCGGCCACCAGAATTGGATTTTTTTTATTATTTAAACTAGAAAAACAGA